ATACAGTTAGTCAAGCTTTTATTAAATCTTGCATAAAATATAATATTGATACTACATGATGTCTTACCTTTCTTTCTGATAATACAAATTACATGAGTGGTCATGTTGGAGGTGCTGTAGCCAAATTTAATAACTCTACTAAAAGTAATAGCATCCGAATTCCTTGTGGACTACATGTATTACATTTAATTTTGAATAATTTTGAAGAAATAGCCTTCAGCAAGCTTTCGACAAGCACTGGGTTTTCTAAGACATGACATCTATTCAATTTTCTTTATTTGGCATGGATATTGCATGATGGATATAACCAAAGCAATAAAGATTCTCCCTTAAATATGAGAAGTGAAACACTTTATAACCTTTATAAAGCACGACTTAACTATTCGCTAACTAAATATCAACAACCTCTATGATCCAGATGGCAATACGAATTAATTACAGCAGAGCAATACCTTGAAAGACGTAAAATCCATATAGAATTCATTTCGTGGTTTCTTCCAAAATTAAAAAGCTTAAAGAAAGTCCCAAGTTCCTATATTCAAAAATGAAAACTATTTCAGAATTGGTTAAACGATTCTGAATTAAATATTGAAGTCTAATGCATAGTTAAATTCGGTCAAAAATTCTACTGTCCATTTTCTGAATTTCTTGCTAGTTATGATCCTGAATTAAAGGTTTTACAAGTATTTGCTATCATATTATAGACTTTGGAAGAATCAAATTCATTAACATTTGAGACATTAGAGGTCATATTATCAAGTTCATTATTGGTTTTATTTAAATGATTTGTTGTTTTATCAATACGTTTTTGGCACTGATTCAACTTGTGCTTTTTGGCAAGTGATTCAAGTGCTTTTTTTAATTGAAGTTTATGTTTTGAGGGATAAGGCATCGAGTAAGTATTAAAAATATAATGTACGAAATTTTTTTTTTGAAGGTATATTTGATACATTTTTACAAAAGCCAATTCGAAGCAAAATTTATTTTATTTATTTAAAATGCATATAATGGCAACAAAAGCAAACTTTTAACAATTCACTATCTAAATTAGCATGAAAAATTACAAGATCAGTATTATAATGAAAAGCATTTTCTAAAAACCAGTCTTAAATTTTTGATTACAAAAACTAATTTATAACAAATGCTTGCTTTTTTTAAGTAGAGCATATAACGATAACAAAAAGTGAAATATTAAAAAGGTATAGTATTAAATTACAAAAGTTAATCTACAATAACTTCTTTTTTTTTAAGAAAAAAAACAAACAAAAGCAGCATTTTAAGAAGTTTAGTATCAAACTCGATTTTCTAATTACAAAAGCCAATTCATACAAACACTTGCTCATTTTATTAGTTAGATTATATGTAAAGACAATAAAAAATAATATTTAAAAGTTTAAAGTCGAAATACCTGAATATGCTGATTTTAATTGCAAAAGCTATTCAATTACAAAAAACTTGTTTGTTTTTTTTTTTAGTTAGATTATTCAACAACGAAAATAGTTTTTTAAAAATTTAAATTAAATAAATACCTAATTTTAATTATAATAAAAATTGCATATTATTTACTTTATTGTCATTATACTCTAACTTCTGTGACTGTAATAATTCTAGCTAATAGTAAAAAAATCAGCTTAGCTTGTTAATTTTTTTAAAAATTAGCTAATCGATTTTTTTATAATATTCTAATATAAAAAATAAATGAATTTAATTTTTCAAATAATTCTAAAATTTTAATAAAAAATTAACTAAATTGACTAAGCTAATAAAATTTTATTAGCTTAGCTAGTCAAAAAATTTTGATCAGCTAGGATTACTATATGACTGTCATTCCTGCAGTTCACTTTAAACCTAAAAATTAATTTCCTCTATGACTATCATCTGAGAAGTTATATTAAAATAAATCTAGCTATTTAAGCAAGAAAGGTTGAGCTAATATAGCTAAGATCGAAAGAAAAACTAGTATCCATTTAATTACTCTATTAAAATCATACTCTTATATGTTTACCTAATCGTAATACTAAATAATATCGTCGAA